GTAATATCTTGAAAACAAACAAACAAACAAAGGCATTTAAAATGCCCTTAAAATTATACGATACCCGTATTAGTTTTAAAATGGGTTGGTAGTACCAACCCATTTTAAAACTAATACTAAAACTACAACTTGGTACGTTATTTGAGAAAAACTTAATTTTTTAATTTATTAATTATACACCATTATATATTCACAAGAATCATTTTATAAAATCACGTACTTTTAAATCATACTTAATTAAAGTAATAATTTGTGCAAACCAACCGATTTTAAAAACTAATAAGCCAAAATTTTAAGGGAAGAAGAAAAAATAATTTGATGAAGTACGCAAAATAAATAAAGTTAAATTTTTTAAAGGAAATACTTAAATTTTCTTTGCTCTCGAAACTATATTCGTCTACAGGATTTTCTGCGTTTCTTTGGTTGGGGATCAGGGGCGTAGCTTCCGCGGTATCAGCCGTATCAATGATACGGGGCCCCCGGATAGGGGGGGCCCCGATTGGCTTCGACATGCGTAAGCAAAAAATATATTACCCACATGTTAAAAAAATTGAGGCATCAAATTAAATAAATAAATAATATTTTTATTAAATCGTTTATTCTTCGATTTATTAAATTAAAATTTTCCTGAATACCCTCCTGTTCCAACGAGGCCGTTAACTCATACAAAATGTTTCTGCCCGCACCTTTCCGCTATGCGTTGTCTACGGCGCAGGGTGTTATTATCATAGGTTAAATTAATAGCAAATTAGAAATAATTATTAGCAATTGTTTCAAATGACTTTCCTTTATTTTAAAATAGAAACCTTTTAAAAGATGTTGAAGAACGGTAAATGTCTAAAACCAGATCAAATTTTAAAATTTGCCTGTACATAAAAAGCTATGTATACATGGATGAATATATTGAGATGTCCCCCAAGTGAAAATGATTATTTTTTATTTTTGGTTGTTTCAATGTTAGTATAGAATGGAGTTTTTGGCAAGCCTCCAGGTCTAGTAATAACATAACATAAGTGGTTCTGCACTATACATTTTGAATATTAGAGCTTCACGGAAGATATCTTCACGGAAGATATCTTCACGGAGGTTAGGATTTCGTATGTTTTTTTTTACCTTTGTATAATATATATACAATGTATATTTAAAATAAGTTATTGTATCTTTTGACACCTTAATATTTTTTTAAAATACAATTGTAGGTACAGGGTGATCCCCTATAATGTCGCCCCCCTTTAACTTTTTTATTTTAAGTGTACCAAAAAATTTAAAAGTGTGGTTATGTAGGAACTAAAAAATACTTTTTTTCTACGTTTAAAGAAAATTGGAAAATTGATCAGTATACAGGGAAAAACAAAAAGTTTATTTTTTTTCAATGGATCATCCTATATATGAATTTATTTTTTGATTCCTTGTAAAATTCTGAGCATAATTCATGTATCATACCATATACCTAAATTCAACCGTTTCTGAAATATTTAAATTATTTTTAAGATAATAAGTTGAAATAGTTTGTCTGAGTAGGCAATTTTTACTTATTTAACAAGACATATTGACATAATATCACTACAATAATTTATTTTCAATAAAAATTTTGGTATACTGATGCTTCTTGATTTCTAACAGTTTAAAAAACCATTTAATGATAACATTTCGAATGCGAATATTTCAAAAACAGTTGAATTTAGGATATGGTTTGTTATATGAGTTATGCTCAGAATTTTACAAGGAATCGAAAAATAAATTCATATATAGGGTGATCCATTGAAAAAAAATAAACTTTTTGTTTTTCCCTGTATATTGATCAATTTTCCAATTTTCTTTAAACGTAGAAAAAAAGTATTTTTTAGTTCCTACATAACCACACTTTTAAATTTTTTGGGATACTTAAAATAAAAAAGTTAAAGGGGGGCGACATTATAGGGGATCACCCTGTACATACATAAAATATTTATAAAAAAATCTACTTACTGAGATATTACACTTCACGGTGGATAGGTTTTTAAATAGCAAATTAATAAACTTAAACTTTTGAATTATTAAACAGCAACACTCTCATCTGCATATAAATTCTAACTGACCTCAGGAATCACATGCATCTATAAATTATAGACTATAATGTCGTAAATAGAGGTTTTTGCTTATTTAAAATGATTAAAGCGCCATCCGTTGCAAAAAATTTAAAACAAAAACAGATTCACGGAGGATAGAATCAATTTTTGTAACACCTACATAAATGGTTATAAAAATTATTTCTTTTAATTTTTAATGATATTTTATATTCGATTCGATTGCTTTGGATGTGTTTAATTTACTTAGTGAACTGATATTTTTAGTATGCTTTTACTACCTCAGATATTTGAAAACATATAGGTTAACCTAGAAAGAGTAACAGTCACGGAGGATATGTTTTAGACTTTTAAAACATTGTAAAAAATAATTCATTGCGGTTAAAAATCTGGAACCTGAGCTGTAATGTCTACTTAATTATGAAATATCAAAACACAATAAAAGTGTAGGTCAAACTCATCAGGGGACATTTCGTGAGATTTACCCACATATATTATTTATTGAATTATAAAAATTGGTAAATGCAAAAAAATGATACCCTAAAAAATTTTTTGCCAGCACATTTTCCGGTATAAGGGCCCCTACCAGATTTTTGATACGAGGCCCCCTTGGGGCTAGCTACGCCACTGATGGGGATACCTAAAAATTAACTTTGCTTTAAAAGAAATAATAGTAAATAAAAAAACTAACCTAACCAAACATGCCTCCTTACCTGTATTTTGATTTTTCCCTAGTATTGCCATTCGAGCAATTAATTTGCTTCCTGCCGATATTTTCACACCACACAAACAATTTCGCCAATTCTGCTATCTCCCCTATTTACAGTCAATGAGGAGAATCCCGGAATAGTATATTATTTTTACGTACTTTCGACCTACGCCACGAATCCCTACCATTTGGCAACATCGCTGGGTCTCGGGACGTTGGTTGAATATGGTTATGCAGTATAAACGGGCGCGAAAAGTCGGTAACATGATGCGGGTTTAAAAAGTGTTATTCAGTATGCAACTTTTTTTGTAAAAAGAAAATGTTTCCCCTTGAAGCATGCTTATTGAGTTATATTCTTTAAAAGCTTATTTACGGTTTATATACTCTCCTAAATTACCTGGATCAAGTGGGTCTTAGGTAGCCTGTATAGTGTACCGGGACTGAAAACGTGGACCGGATAGATATATATATATATATATATGGGCAGATCCATTACTTTTCGACAAAAGTGTGCGGGGGTAAATCACCGATTTGGCTGCCGAAAGTAGGTCATATAAGGAGGCGATCCTGAAAATTTGAGCTCGATATAGGTAATTCCGGTTGCAAGAGAATTTTTTGAAATATAAAAAAAGTCGATTTTTTAGTCATTTTCAAAAATTCGTATCTCAGCTCTTATTTAACTTAGAGATTTGATCAAGACGGCATTTTTCTCTGTTATCCCTCTATTTTCAAGAAAAAAATAGGTTTTAAGTTTAAACTCAAATCCGGCTAAGCTGTAAGCCTCCAAATAAAACACTGCTTAAGATAAATTTTGCCAATTTTTAAAGTGCTCTAAAATCCACAGTTTTTGAAGCAGTGGAATAAATGACAGATGATATTTTTCGTTAAGGTATACTCTGTTGGAATTTACCCATTTTTTACTTGATTGCTTCGATTTCTCTAATGTATGGCCACTCAAAGACAATTGATTTTTGAAAAATCGCTGTTTTCAGATACCTACAACTTTTTTCTATCGATCCGAAATCCTTTGATAATTTCAGGGATTATACTTTATTCTATCCCCAAACAACCCATCAAAACTTTTCCTTGGGTGGTTTCCGAGCTATGAATTTTGGCCGTTGCTAGTCGTCCGTATAATCGGACGAATAAAATATATTAATCGTCCGATTATCGGATGAATAAAATATATTAATCGTCCGATTATCGGATAAATAAAATATATTAATCGTCCGGTAATAACATAAATAAATAAATAATAATAATAAATTTTAAGTCCCTAACAAGTAGTCAATATTGAAATTTAACTTTTTATACAAATCTAAGGGATTTTCCTTTATTTTTTTTTCACAGTGCTGGATTATCCCGTACAGCTAATGGTTGTTTAAGGCTGGACCGTAGTAAATTAATTTTTTTTTAATTTTCTACTTTTTTTTATCGCACTACTGAATACAGTTTTGTGGACGGTATCATAAGTATTTGTGTTCTCAAGATATATTTGCCATCTGATGATAAAAATTCTAATTTTAATTATTCCAAATATCGGGACAATGCACATGAATGTGTGACTATAGTGCATATAGTCATAATAATTTCATAAGTGATAGAAAAATAAGTATGGTTTGTTTGGGATATAGAGACTATACACCTAGTGTATAGTCTCCATAGTTTGGGACAGTTTGGGAACACAGGGTTTATTGGAGAGTCTCCATACTCTATATATTTTAACATATAATTACTTTTTATTTACAAACACTTTTTTTATTAATGAATAAGTTTTGTTTGAAAATCTTTTTGAAGAGATATTTTTAAATTCTAGAATAATTTAATTAAAAAGATGTACGTATATTCATAAAATTATAAAGTAAGTATTATTTAACCTAATTTCATAAGGTATTTTCTTTACTGATTATGTTTTATTGTACATTTTTTTTGTATGTGAATATATTAAAAATATAATATTTTACTTACAGGGAGTTGATTATCGCTTAATTGGAAATTATCAGGAAGATATCAAAATTATTTTCTTTTCTAAATTCTGGAGTAATATTTATTATAAAAAATTTTATACAAAAAGTATACAATTTTAAACAGGTAAATCATTATAATTATTTATATTATATATTTATAATAATTTTAAGTCTTCATTCATTTTTACAGAATGAATAAATCGAACAACTTTCTGTGAATAAAACTTGATTGATAAAAATGATAAGGTGAGAACATGATTAATTTGAATTTTTACAACTGGTGCATATCCAAACTTTGCTGCTCGGTTTTCTCTTGAGTCCAACGCATTTTAAATGAAACCACTCTAAACAAGCATCACATCCAACGCTTATTTTGAATTTCTTGTTCTTAATGTCATCATCATCGTCAATCGTCTTATCTAAATCTACATTGCAAACTTTACACTCCCATAATTGTGATTTTTTATTTTTACACATTCTTTTAACTTTTTTCTACCCGTCAGTTGTAAAGTATGGATGAACAATATAGTAGAGGATCCCAAGTAAGGTCGACCTTCACCGATCTGCTTACCAGATGAAAATTATATTTTATCAAATAAAATATGTTTCTGAACATAAACCAATAGGGTTGCCATAAAAAATATGATCAAGGCTAGCTATAATAAATAAAAAATTTAAAAAAAATAATTATTTTTTTAAATTTCACCGACTTGCTTGCCAAATGAACGAAATTCCAATGGAAAGCATACATCATACAGAATATGTAACAGCTAGGTTGCCTACCTTTTTCTGGTCCCTATTACCTGGTTGCTTTGTACAGGGTGATCCCCTATAATGTCGCCCCCTTTAACTTTTTTATTTTAAGTTTCCCAAAAAATTTAAAAGTTTGGTTATGTAGGTACTAAAAAATACTTTTTTTCTACGTATAAAGAAAATTGGAAAATTGATCAGTATACAGGGAAAAACAAAAAGTTTATTTTTTTTCAATGGATCACCGTATATATGAATTTATTTTTCGATTCCTTGTAAAATTCTGAGCATAATTTATATAACAAACCATATACCTAAATTCAACCGTTTCTGAAATATTCGCATTCGAAATGTCATCATTAAATGTTTTTTTAAACTGTTAGAAATCAAGAAGCCTCAGAATACCAAAATTTTTATTGAAAATAAATTACTATAGTGACATTATGTCAATAAGTGTTGTTAAATAAGTAAAAATGGCGTACTCAGACAGAGAAAAACAAACTATTTCAACTTATTATCTTAAAAATAATTTAAATATTTCGGAAACGGTTGAATTTAGGTATATGGTATGATATATGAAATATGCTTAGAATTTTACAAGGAATCGAAAAATAAATTCATATATAGGGTGATCCATTGAAAAAGATAAACTTTTTGTTTTCCCTGTATACTTATCAATTTTCCAATTTTCTTTATACGTAGAAAAAAAGTATTTTTTAGTTCCTACATAACCACACTTTTAAATTTTTTGGGACACTTAAAATAAAAAAGTTAAAGGGGGGCGACATTATAGGGGATCACCCTGTACAAAGCAACCAGGTAATAGGGACCAGAAAAAGGTAGGCAACCTAGCTGTTACATATTCTGTATGTTGTATGCTTTCCATTGGAATTTCGTTCATTTGGCAAGCAAGTCGGTGAAATTTAAAAAATTAATTATTTTTTTTTAATTTTTTATTTATTATAGCTAGCCTTGATCATATTTTTTATGGCAACCTTATTGGTTTATGTTCAGAAACATATTTTATTTGATAAAATATAATTTTCATCTGGTAAGCAGATGGGTGAAGGTCGACCTTACTTGGGATCTTAGACTAATAGATAAATCAACTTTTTCATCGTCAACAATCGCAAAAGTCAATTCTTTATCTGTAATTTTTATATCTGAAGCACTTATTAGTTTTTTGTTAATTACTTTTTTTACAATTTCATCATCCATCAATAACCATTTTAATATTACTTTACATTGTTCTTTGATTGTTTTTTCAGTAAATAATTTCACAGTTTGTTTGTTAGATGTCTTTCGTTTCTTTGGTAATCCGATGACTGTATTATCGGTACCTCTAGGCCTTCCTTTTCTTTTGATTGCCGGTTGTACAATTACTTCTGATAATATATTTATTTTTGTCTTATTTGCTTGATTATAATTATTAGATAATTTCAAAGGAACATTCTCTTTTTGTTGAATTGGTGATGATGCGTATGAAATAATTTTTTGTGAGTGAAGACTTTGTTTTGAAGTTGATGGCTGATTTGATAATTCTTTACAACAAACTGCATTTATTTCTTCATTATTATCACTACTATCTAACATTCTTTTGCTATTAACGTTGCTTTGATTATTTTCAAGTATGATTTGGTCGTTTTCTATATCCACTGATTGCGATTCGACGTATTTTATCATTTCATTCAATTCATCATCATCATCATCATCATCATCATCATCACCATCATCACCATTATTATTATCATCTGATTTAGATTTACTAGTATCATTAATGTTATTATTTTTATCGCCTCCACCACCAATAACATCACTTCTGTCTTCACTGTTATCTTCATCAATGGTGCCTCCATCATTAGGGCTAATAACATCATCCTCATTATCATTTTCATCAATGACATCTCCATCATCGTGGGTAATAACATCATCTTCATTCTCATCATCGTCTTCATCTTCATCTTCACTATCACCATCACTATCATTATTATTAATTTTGTTAGTTTTTTTTGGGATTTTATGTAATTTTTTTGATTTAGTAATTTTATTTCGGTTTTTAATTTTTGTGACTTTGACTTCCTGATTATTTTGCCATGCTTCTATTAAATTAGTTAACACTCTTAATCTTTTCAAATAAGAATCAGTACCTACTTCAGCTACTAAAGCTGGTAGTTGTTTAGCAATTTCATTGGCTTTTCGATATTTTTCATGCTCTGACAATATTTTCTGTTTTTACTCTCTTGAAGAAACAATAGCTTCTGGTACTTCTATTTCTTCAGCCTCAGAAAATACTCTTTGAGTATTAAAATAAAATCCATTGGTCCATCGAACGATACACAAAGATTCTTCAAATAAGTCCATTTTCTCCTTTCTTCGCACCATGAAGATATGTCTAAATTAATATGAAAAAGTATGAAATATAATCAAAGAAAATAGTCGTTAATAAAACTTACCTGCAAGGTAGTTGCATTGACGTATGTCTTACGCAACTGCATGAAGTAGAAGTTGAAGATATTTTAATAGTGGGCGATATAATTTCTTCATAGACACCTAACGATTCGTTAAAATTCAATTGTAAATTATCCATATTATTAAATTCTTTTCTCACGAATTGAAATGCGTGATAGGTCAGATATTCAGCGTAACGATACTCAGCAGAATCTTTCGGATAATTTAATATAAGAGTCTTATGATAAGAAGAAGCTGCTTTGTGGTCTCTATCTCTTTGAAAACACTCAACTAAAGTCAAGAATTGTCTCACGAACTCTTCCAAAGACATATATCGGTCAAGATTTTTCTTCAACTTCCCGTTCAGTGATTCTAAACGATTGTTTGTAGTATTGCCAAAGTTATGTTGCATATAATCTGTTGACAGGGTCCATTCATCTCGACACGGGTGCCAGTTCTTATCAAAATAGTCCACGATTGAATCCGGTAATTTCTTCAGTTCATTATATAATTCATTGTAACGATCTTCCGTTTCGGCGTAAACCATTTTTTCCATTATCGCTTTAGCTTCATCCCTTTCTTCTTTGGTAATGTCTCTCTTATCTGTTGTTATTTCCCTGTTAAATGTCCGAAGAGTATGAAATGCACACATAAGTAAATTTACTACCATAGGCAACATACTAGTCCGTATTGCTTCTCGTTCACCAATATCTTTATCGGTCATTATACATTTAATTTTAGTCCATGATGGATGACATTTTTTAAAACAATCCATCATCCACTCAATTGAAGTTTTATCTTCATTTATCAAAATACTCACACCTACTATTTCTGTGCAGCCATTTGGGTCTTCTGCTATCAATATATACACCGGTGCACGAATATTCAATAGTTTGAATGTACCGTCGACTCCAATGTATTCAGGATATGATGTCATGGTGGACTTCATTCCTGGAGTGGCAAAAAAAAGTCCTTTGAAAACTTTATTTACGACAAGAAAATGACTTTCTGCTTTGAATTCTTCTCTTAAAATCCTTTCTACTTCTTCTAATTTATTTTTTTCTTTTGCATCATAACTTAAATTTTAAATATCTTTCATCAAAACTATTTTATTAGTTTCTTTTTCAATCAAACTTCTAATTTTGGTTTTATTGGCTTTTAAATTCACTAAATCTTTTACTTTCTTTTTAGTTTCTGCATTTATACGTCTTACTTGACAAAGATGTTCATACAATTTTCGTGTAGTTTGATGATTATGTCTTTTCGGAAATATATAAGCTGTTTCCGTCTTTAGTTACCTTAACTCTAAAAAATTATGGGCACTCTTTCTGAAATGTGCGTGATGATCGTTGCCCTGTTGCCTTAGACACAAAATTTTTTCCTCCATGAATGCAGCAATATTTAATTGAATAATATCCTAGTGTTGGTTCAATGAACCTTTTGATCCCCTGCTTCCTACATTTTTCAATAGTAACAGAATCTCTTCTATAAAAAACACAATTCGAAAAATCTTCATACTCCTTTATTCTCTTTTCCAAATCGCTGAAGCAACTAAATTTTTCATCAATTTTTAAATCTTTTGAGTTGTTTGATTCATTCTGAGAGCTTAGGATTTCTTCATTATCAGATTCTGCAATATCTTCAAGAATGTCGCTTCTATCATTTTCTGAAAATGAATTAATTATTTAAAAAATTTATTAATTAGTCATTTAGATGATTGAGTAATATTAATAGTTTTATATCTACCCATCGTATTTAAATCAAGATTATTTAAATAAAAATTTTACGATTATTAAGTTTATTTTTTTATATTTGACAGCTGTCAAATGATAAACGATTCTTCATTTTATTTTATTAATTATAATTCTAATTTACGTTCATTTATTTATGAATTAAAAAAAAAAGTTATGAAAATTTAATACTTACCCGAATGAATTATTATACAATGTACCAATATACCATATACATACTTACAGTAAATTTTAATAAATTTTATTTTCACTTTAAAATAACTATCTAAAACTACACTATAATATTGAGCGAAAAAAATAACAGTTTTACTTTACGTTTTTAATAACTAAGTGAAATATTACAGTAATACTGTTTCAGGTTCTAAGGAATTTTCAAGGTTGTTACTGTTGGTGTTAACAAAATTGGAGCAAATATTCAACATTCAATTGGAAAGATATCAGAAGAACCCATTTTTAACAGAAATAATTTTTTAGAGCGAATGGTTTTTGATCGCGTCATATTATTATTTATTTATGATTCAGTAACATGTTACGAAGGTTCTCCCAAAAAGTAACAAATGTTGAATTTAGTAAATTTAATTTAATCTATTTTAATGGATTTTTATTTAAAATAATTCTAATTTCTATGCATCCACTTGTTTAATAATGTAATCACTCAATTATTGTGAATACTACTCATTTTATAATTATAGTTACAAAAATTTAATTTATTAAAACAATGTGTTATAATTATTTGTTAGATAATATGTATTAAATAATATTGTTGTTAATAAAATACTTTTAATTTTATCTATACTCTAAATTGATGTGCAATGTATTAGACCATACTATAATATTAGTGATAACATACCGACTGGTTACTAATTTAAGTATACTTATACCTCTTACTCTATTTTTTTGATTTGGTCAAAATTTTTTATTCTTAAATTCTCGGAGGACTAGCTTTATTTTATTCGTCCGATGATCGGACGATTAGACAAGTCGATGAATTTTTAAAAATGTCAAATTTTCAATATAATATGACATTTTTGGTAGTTTTATTATCAGTTAAATTCGTAATAAATTAATTGATATCTGTCGGTAAGAATTAAATTAATTATCATTATAGGCTGGCTGCACATTATGAACAAGGTCTAATGGATTATTGACTAAAGTATTACTAATAATTCAATTAACTGATAATAAAACTACTAAAAATGTCATATTATATTGAAAATTTGACATTTTTAAAAATTCATAGCTCGGAAACCACTTCAATACCCAAGGAAAAGTTTTGATGGGTTGTTTGGGGATAGAATAAAGTATAATCCCTGAAATTATCAAAGGATTTCGGATCGATAGAAAAAAGTTGTAGGTATCAGAAAAAAGCGATTTTTCAAAAATCAGTTGTTTTTGAGTGGCCATACAGAGAGAAATAGAAGCAATCAAGTAAAAAATGGGTAAATTCAAACAGAGTATACCTTAACGAAAAATATTATCTGCCATTTATCCCACTGCTTCAAAAACTGTAGATTTGAGAGCACTTTAAAAATTGATAAAAATTATCTTAAGCAGTGTTTTATTTGGAGGCTTGCAGCTTGAGTTTAAACTTAAAACCTATTTTTTTCTGGAAAATAAAGGGATAACAGAGAAAAATACCATCTTGATCAAATCTCTAAGTTAATTAGGAGCTGAGATATGAATTTTTGAAAATGACTAAAAAATCGTCTTTTTTTATATTTCAAAAAATTCTCTTGCAGCCGGAATTACCCATATCGAGCTCAAATTTTCAGGATCGTCTCCTTATATGACTTACTTTCGAGAAAAATGAACAAGGTCTAATAGATTATTGACTAAAGTATTACTAATAATTCATTTAACTGATAATAAAACTACTATATTGAAAATTTGACATTTTTAAAAATTCATAGCTCGGAAACCACTTCAATACCCAAAGAAAAGTTTTGATGGTTTGTTTGGGAATAGAATAAAGTATAATCCCTGAAATTTTCAAAGGATTTCGGATCGATAGAAAAAAGTTGTAGGTATCTGAAAACATTGATTTTTCAAAAATCAATTGTCTTTGAGTGGCCATACATTAGAGAAATCGAAGCAATCAAGTAAAAAATGGGTAAATTCCAACAGAGTATACCTTAACGAAAAATATCATCTGTCATTTATTCCACTGCTTCAAAAACTGTAGATTTGAGAGCACTTTAAAAATTGGCAAAATTTATCTTAAGCAGTGTTTTATTTGGAGGCGTACAGCTTAGCCGGATTTGAGTTTAAACTTAAAATCTATTTTTTTTCTTGAAAAAAGAGGGATAAGAGAGAAAAATGCCGTCTTGATCAAATCTCTAAGTTAAATAGGAGCTGAGATACGAATTTTTGAAAATGACTAAAAAATCGACTTTTTTTATATTTCAAAAAATTTTCTTGCAGCCGGAATTACCTATATCGAGCTCAAATTTTCAGGATCGTCTCCTTATATGACCTACTTTCAAGAAAAAAATCAGCAGCCAAATCGGTGACTTACCCCCGCACAGTTTTGTCGAAAAGTAATGGATCTGCCCATATATATATATATATATATATTATATATATATTATATACATTAATAATAAGAAATTTTACCTGTATCCGTATTATATGTAAAATATCTTAATATTTTTTCTTTGGTATAAAAAATATACGTTTCTGTTATATCATAATAATTATTATATTTAACGTAACAAGAACGTATAATATTAAAATATTATCTACTTACCAAAAAAAGAATTAGTATAAAATTGTATATGGGAAATGTATACTTCAATGCATTTATATCCTAAATCTATTCATATATATTTGTTTAAGAGTATACTTTTACAATTAAATATTCGTATAAAATTATATATATTCAATATATTATATTGTAATATAATTAGTTTAATTAAATGGGTAAATTGGTTTTTATTTAAACTTAAGGTTATATACACATTGCTTATAATTAATATTATTGTACGTATACTGTGCGACAATTTGGCTCGAATTTTTTTTATATCCTTTTTTATTTTCGAGCTTCATATACCCCAATTTAGACTTATAAATCGATTTTTTTATATCGTCAAGATTTTTTGTAGAAATGTAGTTACTGCACAAATAAACCCATTTTGTGAACAACATTTATCCCAAAAACCCAATTTTTGGAACCAAGTATTCGAAAAATATTTTTTTTTTTAATTTTTCGATAATATTTAAAATATCTTGCTACTTCTTCTGGAAAAATGTTGTAAAGTATACTAAAAAAAGTAATTTTTAAAATACGCACACAAAACTGAACTTTAAGTTTGATTATTTGCTGGAAAACAATTTTTAAAGAAGATTTTCCAAAATATTCATCTTTTCACACTCAACAGCAAATATTTTGCCGAAATCTTTGGAAAATCTGTACGAAAAAATTGTATTGATAAAATAGAATTGTAGAGTTTGATTTTTTATTTTGTATTAATTTTATTATTATAGAACCTTTTTATATCAAAAAATTAAGTAATTTGATTCATTGCTGGAGAGTTCCATCCCTTCCTCTTCTTCTCCTTTATTTTCTTGTTCTTCATTTTCATTTTTTGATCCATCACTGGAGAATTCCATCCCTTCCACTTCTTCTCCTTTATTTTCTTGTTCTTTATTTTCATTTTATTCCTGATCGTAGTCAAAAAATGTTTCTGTTTACCAAAATGTTTCGACTCGTTTTCTCTGTATCTGGACTCAAATGGCATAAAATTCAGGCCAAGAGTATTGATTTTAAGTAATTTTGAAATAAAATAAAATATTACACATTTTCACAATGCCGATTTCGATAAAACGATTACAGTGCTCGGCTTTGTTTTGGCCTGTAACGTTTCTTTCGTAAAAATCAACATTGTCAAAACCCACAATAAAATATATTGCAACGATTTCATATATTTTCAATAAATATTTCATATATATAGTCATTTAATTTCAGGCGTTTTAGAAGGTCCTGATATTCGGAAATTGATAAAGTCTAAAGACTTTGACAGGGCCTTGGTTGACAATGAGATAGTTGCGTGGGCGTCGATAAGAGAAAGCATCGTTGGACGGGGCAAACTTCGTTCTCCCAATTATGAAGGATCTGTGCGACGAATATTCGATGCTTTTTCCAAAATTGGAGTCAATACGTCGAAAAAAATTCCTTTCCTTCATCGCCATTTGGACTACTTCATTCGATAGTTATCGACAGAATCGGATGAGCAGGGAGAGCGTTATTGAGTCCAGATAAATAGGAAAACCAAAACATGTTGGCGGAGTAAACATATTTTTGACTACGATCAGGAAGAAAATGAAAATGAAAAACAAGAAAATAAAGGAGAAGAAGTGAAAGGGATGGAATTCTCCAGCAATGAATCAGATTACTCAATGTTTTAATATAAAATAAATACAAAATAAAAAATCAAACTCTATGTACTTTTCTACACATCTATTTTATCTATTAAATTTTTTCCTACAAATTTTACAAAGATTTCGGCAAAAAATTTGTGAAAAGATGAATATTTTGGAAAATCTTGTTAAAAAATTGTTTTTACAACAAATAAGCAAACTTAAAGTTCAGTTTTGTGTGCGTATTTTATAAATTACTTCTTTTAGTATACTTTACAACATTTTTGCCAGAAGAAGTAGCAAGAAATTTTAAATATTATCGAAAAATTAAAAAAAAAAAAATTGTTTCCAATATTTTGTCCCACAAATTGGGTTTTGGGATATAGGTTGTACACAAAATGGGTTTATTTGTTCAGTAACTACATTTCTACAAAAAACTTGACGGTATAAATCGAAGATATGCGAAAAAAATAGATTGATAAGTCTAAATTGGGGTATATGAAGATGGAAAATACAAACAGCCATAAAAAAAAATTCGAGCTAACTTTTACAAACTTGC